TGGGTGGACATTGACAAAGCTAGACTTGTGTCAAGCTAGCAACAAAGACAAAAGAGGAAGAATAAATTTCCAATTTATACACCTTAAATAGTCTCTAACTATGACCTCATACCTAGTATAATTTAATCAATTAGATTAATACTCATCGCACAATACATCATACTTACGCATTCCTTATTGTTACCTTTTAATAAGAGTGGTTGGCAAGCTGGCAAGGCGAGCTTTTTTTTATCTCGCAAGCTAAAAAAAAGTTCGCCTCGCCAGCTTACCAACTACCCTACTCTTAATCAAACTCAAACTCATATTTGTCAAACAATACATCATACTTACACATTTCTCATTGTTATCTCTTAATTAAACTCAATACATCATACTTACTAAATATCTACCATTAGACCTTTTCATATTGTAATTGTATTGTATTAAGCACTAAATTAGAAATAAAATGAAATATATATTATGCAATAGAATTAATTTAGAATAAAGCAAAAATACTTATTCTAAATTAATTCTATCACATAACATATTTTTTTACTTTATTTCTAATTTAATGCACGTGTATGATTAATATAATACAATTATATAATATGAAATTCACACCTACAAATCTACTAGTAAATTCACTTTGAAAAGGCCCATTATCACTCAACAGATCACATTGATATCACCAAAAGCCTCATATTCACAAATCACTCATTCGGTCTGGATTGTGATTTTGTAATGCCTCGTGACTCCGTTCACAGCATCTCAATTGTGACCTATATAATTACTTATAAATCTAGATATTTTTGCCATATGTTCTAGTACAAATTAACCTTAATCACACCATGATTACATACCAGAATAGTGAGCAGAATTTTTACGTATTCTAATACAAAAATCACATAATCTTAACCATATGATCATCAATTGGGCATAGTTAAGCATTAATTATTATTTAATACGTATAAACTACTCACTTCTCATTTAACTTATATATTTATTAAATTAATCTTTATTATAACAATCACTTATTAAAGTAAGTACCTGTAATACAGTAGGTTATTTATTTCTCACCAAATTATATTGATTCGCATATAATAACTAGCGAAACGGTGACGTTTTATAGGGCTGGAGCTTTACTTATTAGGTGCTTAATAATAAATTATATTGATTTTCTAGTTAATACAAATAGCCACATATTAGAATTTGATAATATATGAGTGCTGCCAAGACCTCGTTAATTATATTATATATAGTTCTGTAGTTAATTATCATTAACAAGATTCAGGATTGATTAGTGATCCGAGATATACTAGTGTAAAACATAATTAAAATGAGCACTGCAAAAGAAAACCATAGTATGTACGTACGTACGTATTTAATTATGTATCATATATATATATATGTATATCATAAATCAGGGCTGAATCTATAATTAATGAGGTCTTGGCGGCATTCATATATGAATATTATGTTCGTCACTTGGATTTGTATTTTCTTTTTAACTCATTGTTTCAGTAGCTTAGCTGTTCTTCGGGTGTCATAGAAGCCATTCTCCTTCTTTTAGCATCATTTCTTGTAGCCTTTTGTTTAGATGCATAAATTCTTTTATGTTTTTGTATCGATACAATAAATTAATAATTATATAGCTAGTTTTATTAGCTTTTGTGTTAATCGTCTTTTATTTATCATAATTAAATTTTTACAGGGGATATGACTGTTCAAGAGTTATCTAATTACAGAGATGAGAGCACAGCATCAACCCAAATATTGCAGACCATACAAAGGTCTTCCACTCTGCTCCCCTCGCTCCAGCCCAATTGCTTACTTATTTAGTTTGAAAATATAAGTCATTTCAATTTGAATATTTTAAGTATATAATAATCGTCCACACATTTTTGAAAATAACTACAACAACAAAATTTGGGCTCATAGCTATGGGAAAAGTCACAGTTCAAGAATAGGATAAAAATTTGGTCTGCTATGGATCAAATGAAGGTGTTTATAATTGGCATAAGCATTTTGTCATTTTTATCAATCAACTGAATAATGAAAATGTGAGAATTAATTGCAGTATATATACTAGACTAGAGTTCATCTATTTAATTAGTCGTGCTAAAAAAAATGCTTAATTATGATAACAGAATTATGAAAGTAATTGTTAAATTGTTAAAATTTTGATTGTATAACGATCGAATTACTTACATTTCAATATGTAGATATAGTAAATTTAATTATATTGAAATTCAGAATTTACTCTTTATTAATTGAGGTATTTAACTATTAAGCATAATTTTTTTGGTCTGTGGTTATAATTATATATAGTAATTTGTGAGCTAATGTATATTTATTAATCGAAGCATTCAAAATATTATCTATCTTTCTCTCTTACAGTATTTGTAGTATTTGTGCTTATTTATTTATTGATATTCAATAACAATTGAGATTATGCATTAGTATTATGATTTATTGAAGTAATTTCTATTATATATAGAATGTAAATTTTGAATTTAAGTGCCAGTGGCTCCCCACTTGAACTTGTAAATATTATATTAAACTTCCAGATATAAACAATAATACTACATCTAATTATATTGCGTTCCTGGTTTTAGCGCGACCATGTTGCGCAGCTATTCTAATAATAATCAAATTATAGTTGCTCTTAAATGTCAATCCCAATGTGATTAGTAAGTGATTATAATAGTGTTCAAACAAAATTATCAATGGGAGCTAATAATAAATATTTTATTATTTCTTGAGCTTTCCAATTTTTTTTTATTTTATATAAACTTTAAATGTGAGAAGTAAAAAATAATAATTCATTGATGTCAAAATAATGATCCATGGTGAAGGTGCTTGAGCGATCTTTTTAATATTTTATCAATTGTAAAATTTTTCAAGGCAGATATAAAAAAAAAGGTGGGTTATTTTAAAAGTTTGTTGACTAAAATAAAAAACTCATTTTATATTTTTTACTAATGAAAAATGGTTTATTTATGTAATAAACTTTATAAAGTTACACATATTCATCAATTTTAAATAAATAAAATTTTATTTTCCAATGCTTTTTGATCTATTGATTGAGATAATCTATGTGTGAAATGGCAGATTCTACGTGGGTTCTATGTAAATTCATATGGGTGGAAGGATTCTAGTAAAGATAGCTGTGGGTCTGTTCATAGTATGCATCTTCTTACACTTGCCTTAATATTGTTAGTATTCTATTGCAACCCTAAATTTGGCTCAATTTATGAATTTCTTATTTTGGTATAGTTGGTGGTGGTATAGTCAACTAATTAAATCCCCAAATGACTGATTAAATCTCCAACCAATTGATTACAGCTCCAAACAACTAATTAAATCTCCCATATGAATTAAAGATATATAAGGATATAGTTTCAATATGTGAAGAGAAGAATAGTGGCTAAAACGATTGTTAATAGTATTTTGTATTATTTATAACCTGAAGTATTGATTTATATTAATAAAGAGAAACCTTGACCTGTAATTATGTGTGTTAGTTTATTAATTTAAGCTCTTTGACCTTAATTACTATTTTTCACAATCGAAGCTAAATTGGTCTAAGACCCTATAAAGCTCTTCTATCAATCGTAACACAGCTAATTTAGATCTACTTATCTGATTTCATTCATGCTCTCTGTATTTCTGATCAGAATTAAAGGTTTATCTTGGCTTAACCGAATTGCCACCAGCATATCTCTTCGATTTGTTGACTTATGCAGTAAGTCAACTTGAATAAAATTAGTGGAAGTTACTATAAAATTTCTCATATAGGTAGATTGTGTTAATTTTGTAATATTTAAATATGTTCACATTAAAATAAATAATGTGATATATTAATCTAATGATATCTAAATTGATTAGCATTGGTTAAATACTAATACATAATCATGTATATTTTTCTTGCATATAAATATTTAATATTCACATAATTAACAATTTATCAGTACAGTAAAAAATGAATCCAACATGCTAAATCTAACTTAGCACACTTATAAAGTGTATAGAAATTTTTTTGTACAATTTTTTATAAAAATCAACATGCATTATTTATGTATATACATATATATATAACAGTATCTAGTACATATATATGTATATATAAATGAAATTTTTTCTTTCTTGTATATAACTTAGTTATACAAGATGGAATACATTGCAACTAAATTGTGTCTCTAGCTAATAGGCCTATTTGAAATCTAATATTTTGAAGGCCTTTGTGTATTTATTAGATAATTTATTACTAGTCATTGAGGAAGTGCAATTGATGATTGTTTAGCACAAGCATTTTGTATGGCTGCCCTCAATGGTCCTTCATATCCACTAATCATCCAATTTGGTGTCTGAATTGGTTTTAGCTATTCTTTTTTATAAAAAGTATTTTGAACTCGGACTCATTTCTTTGGAAGCTTAGACGATTCAGTGAAAATTTTATTAATATAATCATGTAAAAATGATTGTAGCTACAAAATAAATCAAAAAAATTAATATGAATTATAAATTTCTTATACTTATATAATATGATTTTTATTATCAATCTTACAGTATCAGAGCACTATTTCAAATCTTCACAATAACTTTCTGTTCTCTAGTAGGATTTTCCTCATCAGTTTCTGAAGCTTCAGGTAAGTAATATAAAGAGTTATTTTTAATTCATCTAAGTTTCTAATTTGAAAATAATTTAATTAATGGATCACTAATAGTAACTAAATGCTTGATAGTATTAGCTCTATTTTTTCGTTTCTATATATATGTAATCAAAATGTAATAAATTTAGTAACAATTTTTAAAAAAAAAGCACTAAATAAAACTTATACTATTCGTTCAGCTATTTAGATGCTTTCGTCTATCATGTTCATCTTGGTATTCTATTGGTCGCTGTTTAATCAAATATTCTTCACGTTGGTGTTTGTGTCGAATATGGATTATATCATATAAAATATTTTCAGATACTGGAAATATATGTGAATCCAATGTTTTAATTATGATTGGAATTATTGTATTGGTTACGAGTTCTTTTTGTGAATAAAAAGTTTGTTCTAATTTTAGTTGATTTTGAGACGGCATTCTTTCAATAATCCAAAAAACTTGATGCTAAATATAAAGAATATATTATATGTATACAAATATATTAATAAGGCAAAAATAATAAAAAATAACCTACTCTTAAAGCAACTAGAAGGTTATTTGAAAGATTAGTAAGATCTAAATATTTAGACCTAATATTCAAAGAACTTGAACCTTCTTGTAAACTAGTTCGATCTTGAATTTGGAAATAACTTTGGTTTGATTGTCTTGGTGATCTTTGACTTGATTGTTCTTGAGATCTTGAATGATTTTGGCTTAATAAATCTTCTTTATTTATATATGAACTTATATTATCCGAATTCAATTTTTGGTTAAGAAATTCTTTAAATAGCTTTTGAATTTCTTTATTTTGCATGATTGAAGAAATTTGATCTAAAAAAATACATATTAATAATAATATGTAGTAAATATACATGCCAAATTTATAAAATTAAACTTACTTTTTTCAACTTGTCTATCTAAGTGTAATTCTTTAGAACTATTTTTACTATAATGGTGATGATTATTTTTTAACTATCTACTTCTGCTATCATAACCTGATCATCTTCTCCTTTCATAACTTCTTGATTGACTATCTTTATCTCTTCGATCATAACTTCTTGATCGACTATCTCTATCTCTTCGATTATAACTTCTTGATCAACTATCTCAATCTCTTCGATCATAGCTTTTTGATCGACTATCTCTACCTCTTCAATCATAACTTCTTGATCGACTATCTCTATCTCTTCGATCATAGCTTTTTGATCGACTATCTCTATCTCTTCGATCATAACTTCTTGATTGACTATCTTTATTTTGGTTATAACTTCTTGACCGAAATCTTTTTCGATCACATCTAAAATAATATTTTTTAGAGAGATGCATAATTTAAATAGTTGTATATGTAAAAGTATACTAGTATAAATATTACTTCTTATTTATTATTTATTTGATAAATTTTTTTTTTTACAAGAAAACATATTAAAAAATAAACTTTTCTATTATAATAAATAAACTTTTATTGACTACAATTTTATGTCATGATGCAAGTATATAGATTCATGAAAAATTTTAACAATTATGATAATGAAATATGTCTAATAACATATCTTGATTAAGAGAACAAGCTTTAAAGCTTTATTCTATGAAATTCTAAGATGTCTAATATTTGGTTTAGATTTAGCATCTAACATTGAACTAGCTCAGATTCAATGTCTAGATATTGAATCTCAAGACTCTTACTGTTGAGGGAGGTTTGAAATTTAAAGGTCACTTATATAAATAGCTAGTGATATGTTTGATAATTGATTCTTGTGATATGACTTGATTATCAGCTAAAGAAATTTTGCTTGTTTATATTGGTTTAGCTTGCTAATTCTTTAGAAGCTAATTTGTTATAAGGTTCAATATTTAAATATTTATTCATTTAACTGCAAAAGTAGTTGAGAAACTTTGCATTTAGCTTTAAGTCTATAACCTTGATAAATAGATAGGATCAGGTTATAAAAATTAGCTTTTAAATTACACAAAGCCCTTTAGCTATTAAAAGCCCCAGTCTGATTCATTATACCTATTTAATTTTCAGAAACTTCCTTACCAATTACTAGCTCTGGGTTCTTATTTTATTCCATAAATGAGGATTATCTAAAGCCAGATATATAGTAATTTATATACATTATATGATTTCTAAATTACAAATTTGTTAGTAATCAATTTAAAACTATCTGGCTTTAGACAATCTCTATAAATAGTAACTATATTTGTTATTTTTATTTTTCAATATAAAATACGTATTTGAGTAAATAATTCTTATACTTTAATAATAATTAAATTCTTATATCTTTAGAAATATCAAACCTTTTTAAACTAAAGCCTCTCATTTATTCGAATTTTATAGTATATCTGTACTGCCTTAAAAAACACAACCAAGATTGCATTTTTTTTATAACTTTACTTTAAATTCAAAAGTAAATATAGTAATTAAAGTTTCACTAAACAGAAATCACAGCTTCTAGTATTTAAAAAATTACTACGGTCACTAGTAACTATCTTATCGATTTTGAATTTTCTACCCAGCTTTTTTAAGCAAACTTATTAGCAGCTATCACCATAATCTTAAATATTATTATATAAAGTTGATTATATGCCTGGCTTGCTACAATAGTATTATATCTGTAGTTATTCAATGATTAAATAAATATACATAATGGTAATCACATGATACAACACAGCTTGTGAAAATTTAACTATAGATAACTAAAAATATACACCAACTAGCTAAATATATGTTTTAGCTATTGTATTGTATATAGTTAAACTTTCATAAAATTTAGATACTCACATAAATTCATAACTAAATCTTTCTAATTTTTATATTGATAAAACAACCTATTTAATCACTATGGCACTTTAAAAAAAATGTCTAATTGATTAAATAAAAAATTAGCATCATCAGTAACTACAAAGGTTCGACCTAAAGTACCATGTTATTGCAAACTATGTAATGGTAAACTTGTAGATACAAGAACTAGAAAATCTCATAAATTAATAGAAAAGCAGAACCAAGATTTAGTTAATGAATTAATGAACAATAAAAGTAATATTCAAAATAGAATAGATAATTACCAAAATAAAGAGTCTTTTGCTAAAAATCCGGGGGTTTACCAGTAATAAAAAGCGAAAATATGTCTATTTTTATAATACTAATGACATTATCATTCCAGACTCAGATATTTCAGTTAAACCTTTTAATACAATAAATCTTAATTACAAAAATACAACCAATTTCTGGATATTAATTTGCATATTCAAGTATCACTGGTAAAAAAGTCAATTATTAACTAAATAATAACCAGTAATTTCTGGTACAAATTATAACTTATTTACTCTTATTTACTATATATTTACTGGGTAATATATGCATTTAAACATATTAACTAAAAATATATAAATGACACAAATTATCTAGTAAATATATAGTAAATAAGTTATAATTTGTACCAGAAATAACTAGTTATTATTTAGTTAATAATTGATTTTTTTACCAGTGTATCAAGAGAGATTCTAGCTTTCCGATACTGCAATTTAATCTCTTATTAAAATTTTTAAATTGGTTTTAACAGATGTCGATAGAAACCGGTTTGAGAATTTTTCTTCTACAGCTTATATGGCCAAAAAGTTACTAGACATTAGGAAAACAATAAAAACAATAAAACCTTTGCGACTTGTCCTGAATGTAATAAATTGTATTATATTGATACTAATAATTCAGAATTTAAATGTCTCATGTTGAATTTCCTAACCATCTGATGCAGACTCAATGCCAACATTGCGGGTTCGAAGTATTAATTAAAGTGCCTATAAGCAATAGATATATTTGGCATTCCAAAATGGTATATCTATTGCCATGTTTGAAGTCCCAAATATCTACCATGTACAAAAGACTGGGATTTGAAGATCTGTTGTGTAAATGGGCCAGCCACAGTAACAAGTCTTATTTGATGTCAGATATATATGATGGCAAAATTTGGAAAACTTTTCCATTAGACATTAATAATTTGGAATCATTATTTTTTACATCTGAAACTGCAGATTTACATCTAGCAATATTGATAAATATGGACTGGTTTCAACTTTTTAAATCTGTGTCTTATAGATGTGGGGTAATATATGGTGTAATCTGCAATTTACTACGCAATATCTGGTTTAAAAAGGAGAATATGTTGATTCTTGTCCTTTTACCAGGACCAAAAGAGATCAAGTCACATAAAATTAACAATTATCTTACCCTGGTTATAGATAATTTGTTAGAGTTTTGGAATAGTGTTAATTTACTAACCCATAACTATTCTTCTGGTAAAAGTATTCGAATGGTAGTAATTTGTTGCAGCAATGATATTCCAGCTGCAAGAAAATTATATAGCCATATATCGGCATTAGCTGGATGTCATAGGTTTTTATTTTTTTATTTTTTTTTGTTCTACCATGAAGCAAAACATTGTTTTCGACTATTTGATCCATTTTTATTGACTATTCTAAAGAAAAAAAAATTTCATCATTTTTGATCATTAGAGTACAAAAAGAAGAAACTATTAAAATGCTGTAATAACTTAAAATATATAAATTTTAAATAACAGATAAATTATAGTGATTACGAATTCTACACATTCCAACTAATAGAAAAAAATATTGATATTACATGACTGATTTTATACATGGTGTGAAACATATAAAAATTATTTTACAATACTTGATCAGTTTTGATCAGTCCACTAGTACATGTTATGATTATAATCCAATACTATTTTTTATTACATATACTAGTGGACTGATCAAGACTAATCAAGTATTGTAAAATAATTTTTTTATGTATTTTATACCATTTGTAAAATTAGTTGTGTAATATCAATATTTCCTCCTGTTGTTTCAACTACCACAATCTCTTTTTTGACTTGGGATATAGGAAAGCATTTTTGTCATGTGATTATAACAAAATATTTTACAATATATCATTAGATAAAAATTTACATATAATATTCCTATTATATATAAGCTTTGATATATGTACTTTTAAGTTATTACAGATTTGCTAACACAAAACTGATGATATCTCATATAATTGTACTATATAAATTAATACCAACTTTTTTTTTAGTGTAGTCAATAAAAATAGATTAAATGGGTCAAAAGCAATGTTTTTGCTACCATGAAATCCCAAAAACAATTTTTCTGAAAGAATATAATACTGACTAAATTAGCTGCTGGTATTAGTCATAATACCCAGCTAATTTAGTCAGTATTACATTTTTCAAGAAAATTGCTTTTGGGATTTCATAGTAAATTTTTTTTTTCTTATTTTATTTTATTTTTTCTTACTTTTTTTTGGATGTCATAGGTGCTATAAGAAGACAAGCAATAAAAAAGAGCAAAGACCAAATTTTGGAGATTTTGACAATATGGATAATTGGTTTAGAGCAAGAGATCCTATAGAATATCATCAAAATGCTCTAATTTGAAAAAGCATTTAACAAAAAATGACAGAAAGTAACATCTTAGTCAAACTCAAGTTAGATGGTCTGAAATGCTCTGCTTGCCCTACCACAATCCAATAACATATTTGATTGTTGATCCAATGCACTGTTTGTTTTTTGGGGTTGCACGTTGGATAGTAAAATTATGAATTTAAAGCAGAAAAATTTCAAAATCAGATCTTGAATTAATGGAGCAATGGGCAACAAATATTAAAATGCCAGCTGACCTTGGTAGAGTCTCATTTAAAATAGCAACTAGTGAAGAATTTTTCATGTTTACGCTGATCAATAGAAATCTTTTATTATAATATATGCAATCCCACTAATGTGGGATCTTTTAGACACTCAAGACTATAGATGCAGACATTTGAAGACGTATGGTTACGTCCAATTGACGTGTCGTCACGTCAAAAGTGTCGTAATGACGTA